CAGGAGGCAGTTGGACCGGCTCGGGCCCCGCTCCAGGCGGCCCAGGGCTGCGCCCCCCTCCCGGGCCCTCTGGGCTCGCCTGTCTTGGGGAGGATTCCTGTCTAGATTTGCTCGGTCCTCCCCAGCACTCCTAGAGAAGCCTCCGAGTGTCCCGAGAGGGGGCTGCTGCCTTCCTTTGGTCCCTTCCCCACCTTCTGCCCACAGCCTTCCCGCTCTGCCCCAGACCCTGTGCAGTCTCCGACCAGCCCTCCTTGACTGGTGGGCCTGGAAGCCCGCCACTGTGACCTCCGACCTGTTCCCACTGCCCCACTACCTAGTCTCCAAATGCTCTTGGTCACCCCTCCGGGCCACCCGCACCCTGGGTCCAAGCAGGCAAACGCAGGGACAGTTGTGACTGCTGGTTTGGAGAGGCCTGGCATGCCCAGGGTCACTGAGCTGCCTGCAGGAAGCTGATGACTGAGGGCGGGTCTGCTTTCCCAACCACCTGGGCTACAGCAATTTCCACCCACCTCCCTAGAACCAGGCGGCCACCCTTCCTCCCCACAACCCAGCAGACAGCACAGCCGGGCAACCTGTGCACGCCAGGGCCCAACCCCTGCCTTGCTCAGAACGTCTATCCCGCTTGGCTGTGTCCATCTTCTGCCCAACTGGCACCTTGGCCTGCTGTCCCTCTCCTCCGGGGTTGGCACACAGCAGGCCCTCGGGCCCCAGCCTCCCAAGGTGAGGTGGGCAAGCTGGATCCTGGGCCTGGCGGGTCTGAGGGCAGGAGCCCCATGCCTGCCCCTGGACCTGGTCTCACAGCCATAGTGAAGACCTCAGCGAGACGAAGGTGTAGGTGTTCTTAGCTGACCTGGCCCCAGAGTGGGCTCCTGCCTACCATGTGCCTGAGACTGACCACTAAACCTTGTAGCTTGCACAACACCTTTGGGTCAAGGAGACAGATTTAAGGTTTGGGGGTGCAGCATCCCAGGAACCAGCCTTGGGTGAGACTCTCTAGAAGCACCTAACCCTGGCCACAGTCCTGAGCAGGAGAGGAGCATGCCAGGGGAGAGGGGCAGGGGCAGAGGAGAAGAGCTGTGGAGTTCCCGAGAATCATGCTGGTCCCCAGGAAGGTCTGAGTCCCTGGAGCCCTCTCCAGATGACACCCCTGACCATGGTGCTCCCCGAGCTGTTGGCCCCCCCATGGTGCTCATGAGCCTTTGGTGTCCCCCACTCTCCATCGCCGGTGCTCACCAGCCGCTGCCCACCATACCTGCCCCCCATACCCTCCATGATGCTTGCTGAGCTGCTGCCCCCAAACCTGTGGTGCTCAATGAGCTCTTGTCCCCCAATCACACCATGACACTGAGCCACTGTCCCCAATCACACCATGACACTGAGCCACTGCCCCCAATCACACCATGACACTGAGCCACTGTCCCCCATCCCACCATGACACTCAGAGCCACTGTCCCAATCACACCATGACACTGAGCCACTGTCCCAATCACACCATGACACTGAGCCACTGTCCCCAATCACACCATGACACTGAGC